CAGATTAGAGCATGAAATCGAATGGTTTCCATCTGAAGGGAGACCACTAAAGAATCTTACTTTACAGCGTAAATGAAAGGAACGCAGTCACGTGTTAAATGTCAGTAGTGTTAGGACAGACAAACGTTTAAGAATAGGTACCACAGTTAGCCTATGGAACAACAGCCAGATGGAATACTGAAAGTTTCACAGTCCTTAACACTGTCTTCAACCTTCAACAGCATCTCGACTCGTATGTCTGAAACTGTAGCTTTGTTACCAATCTTGTAACTTCATTGAAAACTTGCGACGCAACAATGACCCGGAACAGCAATAGTACAGTAATTACTTGATGACACGGTTATGTAAGGTCCGCTTCGATTCGTTGAGGTTTCAGGTTCGAATGTAAACAAATTTTCTTCATATTTATTACCTCTGAACAGCTGAATTCACCCGGTATTGCTCCGGTGCAAGCGGCGGTCACAGCGGGTAGCACTTGGTTGACTTGCGAACAACAGAAGCAGTTTGAAGTACTCGTGCGAGCATACAAAAATGAGGGACAGGTAGGTTATGCTGCCTGGTGCGAGTTCCTGTTCGAGTCGCGACTCACCGTTACTCAACTGATAGCTGATTATCCAGTGACGTCCGGTTGTAACTGCTTTGGATTCAGCGAAAAGCCGAATCAGCTCGCAAATGTAGGCACTGCCTAAGGGGCACGTGACATATTCGGATATGGCATCCGGATATAGTGGTATGATTTCATGGCATCCCATCGCTCCATGAAGGTTTGTTTTGAGCCTGAAATATTATTAATCTATTTTCCAGGCAGCTTGGTATTGTAGCTTTTCTCTTACCCAATCGTAATCAGCGAATACTCGAAGAAAACATTACTGTATGAGATTGTCAGGTGGAGGATACTTCTTGTTCGGTGAAACATTGGTTATCGTTTTTTAAACCTGAGGCGAAACTTAAGATCTTGGAGACTAAGCAATTTGGTCTCAACCGCAATAGCTTTACTGAACAACTATGGCATGCAACCAACGACTTTGTGATCGTATTAGACTAGTGTAGCGTGTGAAAAGTTTCAGGTCTCTTGCTAATGCAATTCCTTCCACTAAAAAGCCGAACGCATGAAAACGTAAATCACAGAAGAAGCAGTTGCGTCGCAGACGTATATGGCTAGAAGTAAAATCAGACGTAGAACAGCGATTCAACGGAGCAAAAGAAAAAGAGGGAAAATTGTGAGGATACATCACATGAGTGGAACTACTGATCTTGATGGTTGTCGCAGTGCATATGCGGCAGAAGGTACGTCTTGGAAGGGTAGGTTCCAGCTTTGGGAAGTTTCTAAAACTTGATGGCGGTCATATGGAGATTTTCGCGTATTGCATAAGCAGTGTAACAAGGAATCAGTGAGCTCGTACTCGCGCTGAATGCTGAGCAAAGGGAACGATGTCTGTTGTCAAAATTACGAACAACCTGCCGGGCAGAGCAGACTTGATGCACTTGTGCAACCTCTTCAACAGTGATCCTTCATTGTACTAACGTCTTTACAATGCTTTTGAAGTGTTTTCTGAAAGCGCTGTCATCTGAGTCTATTTTTTTGCAGACCTTGCGTCTTGCGATTTTCACCACCCTTCCCAAGCCTGTTTTGATTCGCCTCAAAAAATTATTACAATCAGCATCAGCCTTTTCCGATCTGTAGCTTAGTGAAGACATGTTTTAGATTTTGCCGCGCTAGACATGCTGCTCTTACGACTTTCCGTAGTTCGTCCTGTCGTCGATCTGAAAGTCTTCTCACGGCCCGTTTGCCATTTCCAGGAATCCAGTCTAACATGCACCACACCCTGGTCCAGCGAACCGCGATTGGGCTCTTTCTGCACACCATGCCCTGCGTGTTGTCACCGCCTGAAGACTCCTGCTCGATGTTCATGTTATCGCCAGTATACATTTTTCCATACGGCGTTGCATAGTGTAGTTTTTGAACAGCTTCCACGCTGACGCTCGGCGTTTCGCGATTCGTACGTTAACGATTAGGGAACGCACTGATTTAGGACCTCCCTCCGTTTCGAGCACAGAAACGGCTTCCAATATAGGAACTTTTTGAATTTGAATGAAAAACTTCTGACGTCATTTTCTCTTGTGTGTTGATTTCGCCGGGTCGGTTCTCCGCTTTAAACTACGTTTTGCACTTCCTCGAACGTAAGTCTACTAACTTCAACAAGTCATGGGTCACCTATTTGTTGGACATGACCTGAGTTTCGTTCAGCTTCATGTTCACCCCAGTTTTGATGTTGCTGTTGCTTAGTTGTTGGAGTCTTTGAGTTTTCTTGCAGACCCAGTGAGGGTCAGAACATCGTCAGCTAATACAGGTGACATAATTGGTATCCATTTACGTTTAGCCTTAGATGTTCCTGATGAAGTGCCATGAAATTAGATTAGTAATTAGTAAATATCTGTAGCAAAAACAAAGCTTAAATGTACGCTGCAAAGTGTACACGCGATTTGAAAGTGATGAGACAAGCCGGAGTGTGAACACGCGGCCATGTTGCTGCGAGCCTCGAGTTGTGCAGCCGTGTTGTATTTGGATATGACGCAATTGCAGCAGGAGTGACTGTGCAAAGACGGTGTGTGATGTTAGGAGCATAAAGCTGAGCTATAGGACCAATGGCGTGCAGTGCGAGGCCGCCTAGACAAACGCAGCTGCGCCTCAACGATAACGTCGCTGATTACATATGATTTTTGTAGTTGATTTCTATCTAACGTTCGAGAAGAGTGCAGCCGTTGGAAGCTCCGTGCAAGTATGTGATTACAGTACGCATTCGATAGTGATAACGACAACCTACTGTCAAAGCTTCTCGAGTATTCTGAGTTAAACTGTCACTGTGGTAGGTTTCGATGTCGCCTGTGAAGCCATCGTTGCGTCGTTCTCTTGTTTCTAGCTGCTTAAAGAGACTGCTTTACAAGGCCACAGTTGCGTGGAGTTTGAAACCTGCAGCGCATGGCTGCGATGTCTGTCACGTCGCCATGTTGAGACGAGCAAACAGGGATGCGAGCACGCAGAAAATCTATGGGTTGGCTTAAGTGTAAATGCTAGTGTTTGCTGCGCATTGGCCTAATGGTAAATGCGTGTTTGTTCACCCTCACCCAAGATACGGCGATACGCTGGTGAATCCATGCACAACAAGTGCCCAAAATCCATAGAGCCACGGACTGTTTAAATGGCTCGTTGTACAGCTACAGAAACAGGGGCGGTGCAGTGCATTTTCCCCAAGTAAATCCGGTTGAGTGACATGAGATAAATGACTACCTCCATTCGGAGGACTTCAGTTAAATTTGTGCACCTCGTTGCACTGGATTTCCCAAGTTTTTTTTCACCTGTTTATCATAAAGAATATTGTTTATTC